TGAAGCTGTGCAGCCTTTTGGCATCCCCCAGAAGAGGAAAGGTTGAGAATTCCAGTGCCTGGCTTGGCTCCTCCTTCCTTAGGCACAAGGAGAGAGTTAACCTCTCCCTTGTTCCAGCAGATGTGAATTTACTTCAGAACCTCCAACAAGTTTAATATCAGCTTATTTGCTGACTTAGCCTTTTTAATGCTGGGACACCAAAACATTTTGAATGTACCAAGCAGGGGCGGGTACCTGCTCTATTCTTGCACAGCCCAGGCACGCAGCCATTCTCTGGGCAAAACACACAGCTTCTGCTCCCATCCAAAATCCTGCTGGGGAAGATGTATAATAAACACATTCAAAAGGAAGGACCTGGAGCAGTTAATGCCTTCCACGATACGCTGTAATTAGAAGGGAACAGAACCTGCTCTATTTCAAGCACAGGAGCAAGATCGTCTGTATCACTTCGAGCCTCTCCATCTCCCTGCACCAGGTTCTCCCCTCAGGGGAGGGCACGCTGCCCACCCAGACACAGTGCTCTTACCTGCCCTGCTGGTTTCCCGGCCGTCCCTGCCATAAGGTGCAGTGGAAAAGCAAGCACCAGTTGTACTCTACTGCTCCAGTCCCCACGTGCCCCTGCTGCCTCCCATCCCTGAAGCTTTACATTTCTCTCCTCACTAAAGTGGAGTTGATGGCTGCATTAAGCACCACAGCATTCTCCTGCAGGAGGATCCGACAGCAAAGCTCAGTGGACTCCTAGAAGGCAGAGGAACAAAGCTGTACTGAATTTGATTAAGGGACCAGAATAACCTTTAACAGCCTCCTGGGGCAAGGAAGCAGATAGCTCTCCAGTGGGAAGCCCATGCAGGTTTCCTCGTGGCCCAGGGCTCCTCAATCAGCAGGAACAGCAGCCCAGCTCTGCTGGAGTTAGCTTACAGATGGATGGTCACAGCCCTCCACTTGCATGAGGGATGACTAACAAGCTCCCAGCCAGGAAGGAGAAAGGACTACATCTGTTGGGGACCATTCATATGATTTAAGCTAGGCATCCATACAGCACAGCTTGGAGAGCCACCTTATTTCTGTGCTCAGCTCATCAACTCAAATCCTAAGCAGAGATCAAATGCATAACAACCATCTCCCTGCATACCTAAGGCAGGTGAGCAGCACAGGGGTGGCATCCACATACAATCAGAAGTCCAGGCCCTCAGAGAGGCTCATGAGAGTAAAGCCAGTCCAACAGCAAACCAAAAAGTCAGTCCATAGCTCAGACTCAGTCTGCTGATAGCAACTGTGTCCAGACACCATCCAGTGATCACTTAGCACCTCCACAGCAGCAGAAGAAAAACCAAAGTCAGACCAGGGAGACATTTGATGTATCATAGCCCAAAGTGATAGAAACTGGAAGGAAGCACCACAAGCCAGCACAGCACCGCACCGCACCGCACCCCCCCACTAGCTCAGGCAGACACTGAGAGCCCCAGGCTGAGCTTAAATAGAGCTCCTGGGCCATGGGTGTGGTGGAGGTCCAGGTGGGCCTGATTAGGGCAATTAAGGCTTATTAGCACCCTCAGGACCCTGCCAACATAAGCCTCTGTCCTCGTAGAGTGGCTTGAGGAACTAGGTGGGGGTTTGTCTTCAGCAGTGAGTGATGAATACTCCTAGTTTGGCTGCTAGGAAGGCTTGAGGTGGTTTATCCCTTTCCTTGCTAAGCTGAGAACCCTTTGGAGAAATTCCTTGTTCTGTAAGCTGGCTGGGCTGGGGTATCTTCAAGGCAGAGGGAGCAGGCTGTATCTGAAGAGGGCTGATATCTGTTGGCTCTAAGGTGCACTGGCTTACAGGGGCTACTGCCATTCCTACATGTGTTTCCATGCAGTTTGATGGACTGAAGCTCCTTGGCATCTTTTGCACAGGACAGTAACTTTCAGATCTCCCTGAGATAACCCACAGAAGAAACTTGGCACCTCCCTTGGGGTTCCCCCACTGCTTCACCTCACGTTTAGAGGGAAGCGACTTGCAAGATGTGCAGAAAGGAGCACAGCCCCCTTCCAAGGAGCTTTTGCTGTGAAGATGCAATGCTCAGCAGCCCCTTGAGGCTCCTCACAGATGTCTTCTTGTGGCTGAGGAGCATGCTGCATGGCTGGAGTTGTTGGCAGACCAGTGCTCCGTAATAATGGAGACATTAAATCAGTCATGGCAGCAAGAACTGCATAATAGATGCAAAGTACAGCAGAAGCCTGATCCAATTTTGGATCTGTTTGTTAAGTGGAAAAGTATTTTAGGAGATGGAAAAATACTAGGGAGGTCAGAGTGCACCCTCCCTGCAGGGTGGTGTGAGGTCTAGTCACTGCAGTCATTCACCTGTGTCTGTAGATGCACAGCATCTGTAAACACATCCCAGGCTGTCTTCACGGAGATCAAATGCTGGAATTCAGGTCTTCAGGTCAGCTGAAGTGAACAAGGAGAGAGCCATAAGCACCCTGAAAGGCCCTCCTGGTTGGACTGCAGCTAGGACAGGAAAATGACACTATCCAACATCTTGAGCTGAGTTAAACTGGGAAAGTTCCCATCAACCAGTTTCCAGACAGCTCTTCAGTAAACACACAGGAGATGGACAGAGCAGGTTCCAGCCAAGTCCTTGCAGATGTAGCATGTTGGTTTATATTCACAATAAAGGCAGATACCATCAAGACTCTAAACCCTGTCAGTAGGCAGGAAAGAGCTTTCAGGAAGAGTACGGAGTTTGTCTCCCCTTTTCCTCACATCCCATACCTTCACATGTTAGCTGGTTATCTGCAGGCACATACGCATTATGTGTGTGTGTTTATTATGGTCTGTGCTGGGCTGAGGTCAAACAGTTTCTTACGAGGCGCAGAGATCCGCGCTGTTCCCTCAGGAACATGCACACAGCATGTTCACATCAAACTGAACCAGGATCTGGCTCGTCATGTCCTTTTCAAATGGAGATGCTCTTCCAAGCCAGTTTTTCCCAGCATTTGCCGCAATTCCAAGGTGGGAATGATTGCTGTAAGGCACCCTGCCTGAAGGAGCACCCTCATCCTCCTCCATGTGAGCCCAAACCTCCATCTGAGGACAAACCTCCTCCCAAGCCCCTTGGGTTGCCGCAGGCTGTCAGAGGCCTGTGCAATGTTCCAGTGGCAGCAGCGAGCAGCCAAGTGCTCAGGCTTGGCTAAACTCAAGGTTTTTGGGGAGCAGCTCCTCGTTGCACGAGAGCATGGCTTGGCTCGTGGTCTGCAGCGCCCTGCAGTGAAACCCTCGCTGCATTCAGCTGCAACACGGCCCTGGCCAGGCAGTCCCCCTTCAAAGCAGCACGATTGCACCCCTGTCCGGAGTAGACACCTGATGTTGTCAATGGCCAGCGCTTGCTCCAGGGAACCTGGGAAGCTCAGTGGCTGTGAGAGGAGGAACGTGCCCTCAGCCTGGCGCTCACACTCCGCTGCGTGGCTGATGCCAGCGTTAGCAAGGGCGCAGCTGCAGGAATTCATCACTCTGCGGGATGCTGGCAATGGCGAGGCGGGAGAGAGCAACTGCCTCTGCAGGGGGCTCGGGAAGAGGCAGCGAGTAGGGACAAACGAGGGACTCCCACAGCGGCAACTCTCTATTGTCACTGCTCGCGCCGTGTGCCAAGTGAGGTGGGACCAGAGCGCGGGAGGAGGTTGTAGGACAAAACTGAAGGGTGACTTGCAGCAGGGCAAAGAGCTGGGTGACTCAGGAGTCCCACTCCATCCCTGTGTGTTTGCAGCGCTATGCTTGGCCACCGATTCAACTCTGTGTGGGTCACTACTGACACAGCGGAAGCATCACAAGGTTGCAAGCGTTTAGGAAGCATTTTGTACTTCTCCAGTGTGACACAAAGACTCTTTCTCCTCCCACACCCAACATTCATCCCCACCAGAGTTTCGGTAACAAGCTTGTTTCATCCGTCGTTTCTGCTGGTTTTGCTATCTCAGGGCAGCACTTGCCCCAGCAACATACATGGGTTCACACAGAGCCGGGCACAGCTTACGAGTGCTGGCAGTTGCTGCCCGCAGGGATGGCCTCTGGCACCAGGAGGTGAGGTGCTCACAGCTCTGTGCCCCTTGGGCCTCACTGTGTGGGTCCAGGCACAGCAGCTCTGCCATCCCCAGTGCAGGAGCAAAGGGCTGGCTCAGGCAGGGAGAGCACAACACGAGTGTCTCTACGGGCTGCGTGCAGAAAGCCCTGGTAGACACAGACCCAGCGGGAAGGGAGAAAACCAGCCAAAACAGTTAAACAAACTCCCAGGAGGGAGCTGGCAGACAGAGAAGGCGACACGCGGAGGAGCCGGGTTCAGGCTGAGTCATGTGCTAAGCCCCCAGCAGGGCTCAGCACCACAAGCTCCCCAGTAACACCAGCCTGGAGGGACGCACAGGCACGCACATCACCATGACAAACCCCACGCTGCGACAGCGGGGACACGGCTGCTTGGCCAGCACTGCAGCAGCCAGCTTACAAATGCACTCAAGCCCAGGCGGGAGGAGGCTGGAGATGCCTGATGGCCCCAAGTCCAGCAAGGCAAAGCACGTTCACTGCAGACCTCAGTTGTGTCTGGGAGAGGATTCTCCCAGACTGGAATCCAAGCGGCAGCCAAGAGATCAGTGGGAAAGGGAGGTGGGAGGTATGTTCTGTGAGGGAACAGGCTCAAGGTGATACAGACATTTACAGGAGAGTCCCACAGAGGGATCAATGCTCCAGTACATAGAGATGACAGGGAAGGAGCCACTAAACACAGGCCCTTGGTGGGAAAAGCAGCATTCATGGCAGTGTTCTGTGGACAAGCATGTCCTGATACCTCTCCAGGTGTGCAACAGCCGAGACCAGCACTGGCAGTTTCTACTAACTTGAAGAGCAAACATGGGATGTGTTTATACCCAAACCCAACCCCAGGAGCTGCCAAGCAGCTGCTCCAGCATACACGTTGCTCTTTTATGCTCTTCCCATAGGTGCAGGAGTTCCCAAAAGAGTAGGAAACACAAAAGTATTGAGAAACAAATGTATTCAAAACACACATGGTAAGAAAATTGCATACGAACACTGAGCCCATCCTGCCTGCCTTGAACAGCTCCAGCCCAGGGCTCCTCCACTGCTCCTCCCCACAGCAGCACCAGGGGTACTTCACCCTCAACAAACAGGGATGATGGTGTTCAGTTCAGGTGCCAGCACTTCGATCCAGCTGTAAATTCACATCTGCTGACAGCTGCACAGAGGTAACACCCCGTGAGGCAGGGAAAGCCCCTTCCTAAGGCTTCTGGACATCCTCAGCATGTGCTGAAGGAGCTCTCATTGCCCATTCAGATCGCCATCAATATTAGAAATAGTTTTATTTCAGTTCTTATCTTTCTTTACCCCCCTCCTTGCAGAAACCAAGCAGAAGGTCAACCCATGTGGGCACCTTGGGAAATGTCAAGTGTAAGACACAAAGACCTGGAGCTGGAGGCTGGCTGGTTCCTGAAGCTGAAAGCAGTCTCAGTTATCACCCAGCAGGCTGTGCAGTCACCAGAGATGGGAAAAGAGAATCCCTGAGATTGCTTCCAATCCAGGGGGGTGGATAAGGCAGACAAATGCTTTCTGAATGCTCCCACTTGGTCCCTCCTGCAGACGAGCCCGTAACAACTAGCAACAAATCAACAGCAAACATGCCATCTAGGTGGCCAGCAATCCTCTCCCTGTTGTGCTTAGCTACAAGGCAAAACAGTGAACCAAGCTGCTAAACAGACTTGGCTGGGCATTTAACTACCTAATTCTGTTCTGTTTACAAGGTCTTCAGCAGCTCAGCACTGCCTTAATCCACAAGGCACAAAGCAAGCGAGAGAATGTGCAGCGCAGTCCCTCTGGATCTCTGCAGTGTTCCTGGGAGGGCTGCAGGAGTGAGGTCTCGTCGCCAGGAGCACGGGGTGGACTCGGTGCCAGCCTCAGAACTGCTGGACAATGAGCTTCCGCTTCACATCCCGGCTGAACCTGTTCATCCTGAACACTTCGCTGTCAAAGAAGGCTGCGAGGTTGTGGATGTTGATCTGCCGAGCCTGGGGAGGACGGAGGTGAATGGTTATGAAAACTAAAAAGCAGGAACCATGTGGTTTTCCACAGCAGAGGACACAAAACCTGACAGTCAGCAATCTCTGCTCTGCGCAGCAGGAGCCAGAGCTGCAGCAGCAGGGAGACAGCAGGTCAGGAGGAAGGAGCATTGGCAGGGCTGAGCTGAGCAGAGAGGATGCTGGCTCAGCACCTGCCTGCTCTCTGCTCGCCCTTTAACTCCCACTAGGGCCAGAGTGGAACTGCTATCCCAGAGCCCACAGTGCCTCACCCACTGGGAGAGTTTTGTGCGAGACCCCTGACTAGGGTGGTCACGGCAGCACCAAGTGGTGCTGTGGCTCTGGGAGTTGTGACTCTGCAGGTTTGATGCAAGGAGCAGAAAAGCAGCAATGCAGGAACCGAACAGTGCTTTAGTGCCAAGCAAGGTCAATACTCTGCACAGACAGGCCAAGTGAGGAGCAAAGCCCTTGGACAAGGATAAGGATGCATTGAGGAGAGTGAGCCTCAGGAGGGACTGGGTAAGTTCATGCAAACTAGAGATTTTCCTGCTTTTTGCTTCTGCAAACATAGGTGCCAGAGAACTGATGTTCTCATTCCCCTGCAAAGCACCAGCTGTACCGCAGGATTTACCACTCCAACCCTGAAGCTTTATGGGGGTGCAGGAGAACAAAGGGGGAAGAATATGGTGCTTCCAGACAAAAGAGGAGCGGGGACAGATGAGACAGTCCTGACTCTGGCTCAAACTGATTAGCACCATGTTTCTCTGCTATCAGAGAAGTTACAAGCCTGAGGACACCTCTGGTTCTGAGCCTGCATGCAGAGAGCAAGAGCCAACCTGAGCAGGCTTGTCATGAGAAAGCCGTACCTTATCCACCAGGTCCTTCTCTGGTACTTCTATGGTGTCCTGCTGGGCGCCGTATCGGTTTCTCTGGTACATCACTTGCTCTGCAACCAGCTGCTTCAGGATGAAGAGCAGCAGCTCGTTGTTGTCTTTCTTGAATGAGAGGTAGCGGGAGAAGGTCTGGGAGAGAGGATGAGATGAGCCAAGAAGGTCAGGACCCGAGTGACGCACTGCGGCTCCCGTGTCCTGCACCAGCCTCCCGACAGAGCACAAGGGGAACCAAACAACACCGCTGTCACCTGCGCCCTTGGTGTCTCTTAAGGGACATTGGCCTTGCCAAGCTGCCACCTGCACATGCAGCAGCAGCCTCGTGACAGCCACCACACTGTGCTGGCTGCTCTTACACCCATCAGAAATCTCCAGCTCAGACTGCCCTGTGCCTCCCCAGCAAACGCTTGCGCCTGGCTGGCTCTGTGCAGCCAAAGGAGAGGCCACAAGTCATCCAGACTGAGGGCAGACACTCGCAGTGGATGGGCGCAGGCGATGTGCTGTGGGAGCCAGTCCCTGCCACGCAGAGAAAGGGCAGACTGTGCACTGAACTACTGTGAGTGCTGCCCGGTGGTTAACTGTCCCCTAGAAACAACGTGAAGAAACTGTCTGCCGGGCTCCATCACCTGGCAGCAGTGGGGAGTCCTGTGCCAAAACAGCAGGGAAAAGAACAGAGACAGGGCAGTGCTCCTGACACAGGAGCTCGGGGTCTCTTTCCTTATCAGCCCCAACAAAACCAGTGCCCCATCACTAAGGACGGGCAGTCACACAGCAGTGCCTCGCAGTGCCCCTTTACACAGGCTCAGCACCCCTCGGAGCACAGGAGTCTCTTCCCAGAGGCAGGGCAGTGCCCGGGCCCTGCAGCGGAACCCACGGGGCCGGGGTGCAGCCGCAGCCAGCGCTCACCTTGCGCATGCTGCGCGTGACGCTGAACTTCTGCGTGTCGATGAAGCTCTCCAGCATCACCCTGATGGCCATGTTCACATCGTCCTCCACCACGTAGTCCCGCAGGTGCATGCGGGCGTGAGCCTCCGCCATGCGGATCATGGACTCGATGTGACGCACCGTGATGGGGATGCTGCCCGTTGCCTGAGGGGAGAGGAGAAGGAAAAACATGGGGCAATAGAGGTGGTGCCTGGCCCAGGAGGTACTTCACGCTGCAGGGAGCTGCTCCCGGACCTCTGAGCACTGTCTCAGGCTGAGGAGGCTCTGCCACCTGCTGGCATGTTCTGCACAGTGGCACAGGCTCCCCCACTCATTTTAATCTGGGGATGCCACGTGGGTCACTCTTTGCCATTTAGTGCCTTTTCAGGAACAGCAATCCCATTTCCTCCAGCAACTTTTAGGAGGAATTAAAGAAATAAAAGGCCAATTAAAAAATATAGCTATCCCAAGTTCCAAAAATCTCCCCCAACCTGAAGAAACTCCTCTTCAGGAGCATGAAATGACCCTAAGAGATCCCACAGACAAAAGAGAACAGCATTTGTACATAGAACGCTCTCTATAATGTACCAGGAGCACATGGGGCTGGGTGAATGCAAACACCTCCCGTGGGCCTGCCAGACTGGGTGACAGTAAGGACTTCGCCACGGCAGACACCAGTACATGTGTCCAGTCCATCACTCCACAGATCACCAGCAGGCACAGCTCTGCACTCAGATGAAGAATCATCTGTTCAGCAAACACTGAGGGATCCGCCTGTCTCTGCCAAAACGGTGCCACAGACTTTTGTGATGGGAATGGCAAGAATGTGACAACACATGCTGGAGCAGCCTCGGGCTGATTTGCAATCCAGGCACACGCTTCTTCCCCCCTCTCCTCAGTATTCTCACCATAGACTCTTTCCTGAGGTCACTGTACATCCGGGCCACCTTGTCCTGGTCCATCTGGTTTAGTTTGGGGTGGACCTTCTCTTTGGCATAGATGATATATTTCCTCAGGATCTCCTGGGGAATGGGTTCAACCCCGTATGTGTTGGGAAGATTGACCTCACTGGCGTCCCCATTCACTCCCTCCTTGTTACCTGGGTGGTGCTTGACGTGGCTGCCAACCACGAACCGGGCAAGCATTTCATCCTGTAAGAGAGAGCAGTGGGCACACAGACACTGAAGACACTCACTGGACAGCAAACCTGCAGCCGAGCATCCCAACAGCAGCACCACAAGCTCACAGTGACAGCACAGCCTGTACCTGCACAGGATCCACCGTGTCTCTCACCACACACAGGATGTCAAAGCGAGAGATGATGGGCTCGGACAGGTCCACGTTCTCTGAGAAAGTCAGTGATGGGTCGTATCGCCCACCTGGGTCACAGAGACAACCAGAGTCAAACACAGGCTCCAAGGATGAAGCTCTGAAGCAAGCACAGACCCCCAGCACTTTACTGCTCGCCTGGTCTCTGCCCCAGCCTGGAGGAGCCAGGCAGAGGGAGGGGAAGCTGTGCCACAGCTCTCATGACTGGTGCTGGAAGCCTGAGATGCTCCTGTGGTCTCTGAGCACTTACCGATGGGATTGGCAGCAGCAATAACAGTGCAGCGGGCTTGCAAGGATGTGACAATGCCTGCTTTGGAGATGGAAATGCTTTGCTGTTCCATGGCTTCGTGGATGCTGGTCCTATCCTGATCGTTCATCTATGAGAAAGCAAGGATGACTTAAACTGAATCTCTGTCTATGCTCCATTGCCCAACAGACCAGAGGGAATCAGCTCCTGATGCTCTGGAAAAGTAACAAACTGCACTATAGACAGGAAGGGCCTCAACAAACTGGAGGAGCCTTGTTCATCTGGGGAGTGGCACCACGAGTGACAGCGTCTCCTCACAGCAGAGGTTACAACCAGTCCCTCCACACCTCATCCACCCGTGGAGATGAAGCTGGGCCTCACCTTGTCAAACTCATCGATGAGGCAGACACCTCTGTCAGCCAGCACCAGGGCTCCTGCCTCCAAAGTCCACTCCTTGCTGACGGGGTGCCTCTGGACATAGGCTGTGAGACCCACAGCAGAAGCGCCCTGGCCAGTGGTGAAGATGGCTCTGCTGGAAGCCTTCTCTATGTACTTCAGGAACTGGGATTTGGCTGTACCGGGGTCTCCACACAGAAGCATGTTGATGTCACCACGGACTTTGTGTTTGCCGCCTGTAACAGCAATGGGAAAGACACGCTGGCAGCTGAGTGACTGGCTTGATAGCACCACAAAGCCAAAGGGAAGGCAAACAGGCAGGGAAACCACATTACATGAAGTGAGGGAAAAGGCATCAAAACCAACCTCTTACAGGAGAAGGAGGGATAAAACCTTGCCCAGGTTTGCAGCAGGAGCTGCTTTCAGTCTTAGTCTTTCTACTGTCACACCAGAGTTTTCAGTGTGATCAAAGCAGCCACTTCCACCACAGATATCCCTCAGCATCCCACCTCGTCTGTCACCAGGACACACAGATAGCTCTGACCACTCTCGCTGCAACGGCACAGACAATCCCAGACCCATCTGCCTTCAGCTGAGTGAAGCAGAAGGGACACAGGTGACACTCACCTGGGTTTTTGGGCTCTCCACCGAAGAGAGCTAAAGCCAGGCCCCTCTTGATATCTTCATGCCCATAAATAGATGGGGCAATGCTGGCAAAGATCTGAAAGGAAAAGCAGGAGTTGTGCAGGGAATACCATTTCCCATCTGGACAGAATCTGGCACAAACATCTGCAGGGTGCTGTACCTACTGTTACCCTTATGATACTGCTGTCTCCAAAGAGTCTTGTATTAGCCAAGGTGAGGGGTCTCTTTCCAAGGTAACCACCCACCCAGAGCCCCCCCTAAAGGTGCTTCACAATAATGGTGCTGTTGGGGCACAGCAGATTGTGCAGTCTGGTCCTGGCACTCCTTTGCAACAAAGCCTGTCTCAGTGGCTGTTATCAGCTGCTGCAGAGCTGGAGACCTTGGCTTGAGACTCACTCACTGCACACGAGAGTAGTTGAATGGGCTCTGCCGCACGAGAATTGTCATCACGGTCAAATATTATGCACAACTGGCTTATTTCTCAAGGGTACTCTGATAATAGCTTGATTCTGGAGACTACTGACCCTAAAACAGTCCTGGCTCAATTGATGTTTCTCCACCTGCTGGGGACAGCAGTCAAAATAACACCAGCATGACCAAGGCAAGAGGGAAATCCCCCTATCACAGAGCTTAAACCTGACTCAAGTGAGGCTAAACATGCCCCAGTCCAAGAGCTTTGTTCTTTCAAGTATTTGGGTCCTAGCATGCAGAAAGAAGCAAAGCTGAGATCTCTACCACAGCTTAAGCTAAGCAGTAACATCCCCTTAAGAGACACAAGCACTGGCCCCTTGGAACACTTCCCCCTCTTTGCTTTCAAGGTATGGGGAGAGAAAACCAGGATCAGATATAAGCAGTGTCCGAGTGCCTCTCACCCGTCTTCCAGCCCTGTTGTGATGTGGAAGGCTCAGAGAAGGAAGAAGCTGAAAACTGGACCCCAAAAGTACAAGGCACGTTTCTTATTCCCTCCTGTAACTCACTCTCATGAACAGCTGAGAGCTACAAAAGACGATGCAGAGGGAACTGGGCTGGTGAGCTCTCAACAGGGAAAGAAGGAATGCCTGAGGCTGACCCACCTTCTCCCCTATTTGCTCATCCTTGGACAACCCCATGATCACTTTCACATCCTCATCAGTCAGCTCTCCAGTCACCAGCTTGTTGTCCTTCTTGGCGATGTGGTTGGCCAGGATCACAGTGGCAAACACTGGGAACCCATTGGCAGTGTTCAAGGAGCCGTCATAGTTGTTGTGGTAGATCCCTGTCAGCTCCTGGGAACCAGGAGATGGTGTGTCAGTGCCTCCACAATACAAAACAGCCCCCTCTCCATTTCAAGATACCAGTGTCATAAGCAGCTGCCTAAATGCACGAGGACGATCCCTCTCCACATCCCCACAGATGATACCACCCCACCCTTGGCTCAACAGCGTACTCACAATCTCATCCCCTGGCCTGCAGCTGTCCACCAGGTCGGCGAGGAGGATGGCGTCCTTGGCACGGGGCAGCCGGCCCGCAGCCACCTTGCCTGGGCTCTCCTGGATCTTGATGCGCTGGTAGTTCTGATAGACCGTCTGCACCGACACAGAAAGGCTGCTCAGCCAGGCTGGGAGGCATCGAGGATGCTGCTTTTCAAAGCACCTCACCAGAGAAGCTCCATTCAAACACGGGTTAGGAAACACCGGGGCATGGGAGGATGGAGGTTGTGAGGAGCAACTCCAGGGTGTGACAGACAACAGTGGGGACAGGAAAGCACTTTGCCACGTCTCACCACTGTGTTTCAGCCTCCACAGTGTTTGTCCACCCAAATACGGGACCAGTTCCTGGGGGAGGATGCTCCACATATGACGGTTAAAGATATCAAAGCAAGGAATTAAAGACAGAAGCTCCGTATTTTGCTACTGTCCTGGCAGATCAGGAAATACTGACCTAACTTGGGAAGGAGGGGAGCTGGACAGGCTGTGTCTGCTGTTCTGCAGTATGGATGGGTAACTGTGTACCACAAAGGTGATTGTGGCAAAAGATGCAGCCCAAACGCTTACAGTGGGGCAGAAAACTCCTTTCGGCTGCTCAACTGGGCAGATTCAGCTCAAGAGCTCAAATAGACAACATCTATCTTCACAAACCCCTGGACACAGGCAGTGGAACAGCCTGGCAGGACAGACACAGCCCCATCCAGGCGAGCGCATCTCTTACCTCTTCCATGTTGATTTCAAAGGGGCCAAGGGACTGACATTCTGGACAGGAACCAGGTTTCACCTCCTGGTTCTGGGACTGGAAGAAGGGTCCCAGGATGAAGCTGCACTTGGTGCAGTTGTATTTGACCATGCTGAGCTGAGGCAGGACCCCCGTGGAACTTGTCACCACCCCACTGGTCCGGATCAACTGATTCAAGTGCAGTTGCCTGAGGAAAGACAGAGAGATGCTGGGTGCCTGCAGGGCACAGGAGCAGAACTCCCTACAGCAATACCAGGAATACTCTTGCTACAAGGCACAGTTCCTAAAGGCTTGGTAAGAAACAGTAACCAGTAGAGGCTTTCTACCAAGGTTTGTGCTTTACCTTGGGAACACAAAGTCCATCCTTAACATGACTTTTTTTCCTGTAATAAGCTCAGCCATCCCATTGGATTTATCCAGAGATTTAGCAGATGAGGCCTCCTGAGCACCCATGGCCACTGCTGTAGTTGTGCTCTTACCTGAGCGACCGCAGCTCCTCCACCAGAGGGAGGTGGGAGATGCGGACATGGATCTCCTGGGCAATCCGGTCGTACTTGGGGTACATGGCCAGCACCACTTCCCTGGCTGCTTCATCAAAGATCTTCAGCATTTCTGCTGGGGCCTCAGGCAGAAAGTAGGCGAGGACATGCTCCTGGGCTGCCAGGTCCTCGTAGTTCACCACCAGACTCTCTCTGTTCTCTTAAGAAAAATCATGGGGTGAGTTGTACTTTCAACCTGCTCATTTCTTGAGGAGTGCACAGAAGACAGCCAGAACAAAGAGCCTGCATCCTGTATTCTGCCCGCACCTTCCCCCAGAAACATTTAGATCCAAAAATGGGTAGAAAACTCTTCTTGATTGATTTCTCTGGCAAATTCTTCAGCACTACCAATTTGTGATTGTTCCTTTCCAGGTCAGCAGATACTTCCCAGGCTCAGTGCTCCCCAGACTCAGAAGCCTCAGCTCAACACACAGCTCTCCCAACAGACTTCCAGGAAAGAGAAGTTAATAGGAGAGACATTACATGTGCTGAATTGCTGGCAAAAAACCTGCTGTGTATGTTCCTGGAAAGGCACAAGACAAATGCCTTTTATTTCCCAGTTGTACAACGCTGACCCTGATCCACTGCTTGAGCTTCCGCCTCTATATAAAGAAATATGAACATCTGCAGTTCCAGGAGCTGTTCTAGATGCGACAGGTTTTGCTTTATAAATGTATCAGAGCAAGTGACTGCTGCTTCTGGCAGTGCCTACTCAGAAGACAGGGCTGTAACACTGACACAGTCTTTGTGTGTCCCCTCAGTGGCTATTCCAGTTTGCTCTGTGAGAAAGCAACCGGCACAGACAATGAGCAATTGTTGTCTCTGTCAGATCTCCAACTTGCAGATCGCTGTCTGCTGCCCCAAATACCCCCCTGTTTATTCTATATGAATATTGATGAGCAGCAGACACCAGGGGCCTTCAAATTAGTCAGCCAGAATCAAAGACGATGGTAGACATGTTCCCATTACTCATCTATCTCCATCAGCATCAGTCTCTCCAAATGCTGACTCCATGTCTGCGACAAACAGGGCAGGCAGAACAAGCCCACCTATGGGCTGGATCACTGCGAGGTGACCCCCATGGAGAGCACAGAGCCTCTCCTCCCCCAGCCCTACCTTTGCACATGTCGCTGATCCTCTCCTTGAAGACGTTGTGCCCGTGGTCATCCACGTGGGTCTTCAGGAAGTTCTTGAAGCGGTGGTAGATCTCGAGCCGGGGAGCTGCCATGGAAACCCACTCCCTCACCGAGTGCCCTTTCATGTCCTCCAGGTTCTCAATGCTCTCAATCATGTCTTCATCCTCCTCTTCCATGCCATCGGCAGCGCGCTCCGCCAGGCGCCTCTTGCGCGAGGGGCGATCTTCCTCTTCATCATCACTATCTAAGGGTGGGAGGAAAAATGCTGAAGACTGGGATTCCCGTTCCTGCCCTTTGGATTAGTCATAGTTGGGTTGCATGGGCTGTGGAAGCAAAGAGGTCGGAGCCCGGAATACAAAAGACCATCCCAGGCCCAGCCTAAATCTAATTCTAGCCTGGCTCCTACATCTTCCACAGCGTAGCTGAAGACCTTATGGGGGTGAGTAAGAGCCATATACAACAGCACACATATGTCCATTAATGCACTGAGGGAAGAAGGCCAAGGAATGGGCTTCCAAGAGCATCAATGGTCCTCCCATCCACCCCACAAGAGTCTCAAAAGGAACACCAACAAACTTGACAGCATACACTTGGTAGGTTCCCAAATCTTCAATACAGGCCCAGGAGCCTGATTTTTGTTTCAGCAGTGAACACATAACCAGAAGAACACACCAAATGAACTCCTAGGAACCCCAAACCAAAGGGACAATGCAGTGGGGAGTCCAGCCAAGCCACAGGCTTCACCAAGAGCCCAAGCACGCTGGAGCTCTAGAGAGCTTCCCGCTGAGCCGAGGGTGAGCCCAGCTCCCAGCAGGGGCCAGTTACAGTCACCCATGTATCAGCAGCCCGCTTGGCACAGCTCATGTCCACCTACCGTAGAGCAGCCCCCTCCTCATGCGGCCCATGCCCTGCTCCAGCTCCCGGTCTCGCTGCCTCATGACCCGCTCGGCGGCTTCCCGCTGGCTGGCTGTCAGCTCCTCCACGTCCTCATCGTCCAGGGCCAGGCCCTCTGCTTCGTAGACGTCCAGCTCGGGGATGGGGCGGTAATCCCTAGTGCACACACACAGCACTGGGTCAGGACACACGCAGGAAGGGTTTTCAGCCCCTCCCTGGCTACTGCTGGGTGGGTGTCAGGACAGTTGCTCTGCAGCAACATGCTTTAACCTGCCAGAGGGGAGATTGGGATG